AATGGGCGGGTGTGACGATGACGTGTCCGCCTCTCATTCGATGTCACGTCAGACAGTCAGACGTGGCGTCGAATGAGAGGCGGACACGTCATCGACACATCCGCCCATTGAATCATTGCGAACGGTGCCTTTAAAGGCACAGTTTAGGAAAAAAATGGTTTCTGGGATTTCCCCATAGGATGAATTTGTGGTCCCCTCTTATACCATGTCTGGCGCTATCATGTCGGAAAACGGCTTGTTCTGGCTTGATGTAGTCAGCTCTTTGCGCAATTGCAACAACCGGAATCACGTCCGAGTATGCCCTCCATGTCATTTTCGTCTTGCTAATCTCGTCCAAGCTCTTTTTTCCCTACTTTTGAGAAGCCTTATTTCTCACAAAATTGGCGAATTTTCTCGCTTCCTTCACTACCGATGAACTATACGATCTATACTTCCGCTGTTCGAATAAAAACGGGTACCTCAAATTTATCGTGAACTGTGCTTGTGAAGGGTTGCAGATGAAGATTGAGAATGATGTATTCGCCTTGTTATTGTTAAGAAATGTCTGTTCCAGCCAGTCAAATCCCTCATGCCGCACCCAGTGAATCTTGTGAAAATGGCGAAATGTGCACGGGCGGATCCATATGTGATGGTGATTCGAAAACCTGTGTGTGCGCTGCTAATCACGTGATCAAGGGCGGAGTATGCGGGAGTAAAGGTACTGCCAAACAACTTACAATATTCGCAAAACCGTTTTGAAGAAATATGTGTGCGCTCTTCGAATGGTTGAGCGAAGTCACCGTGTAGGCTGGTCTCCAGTATGGGTGCAAGCTAACTTTCAGATGCGAGCCCGTTCTCTCTTCCGGGAGGATCTTGTGCTTCCGGAGAGGAATGTGCCGGGAACTCGGTCTGCGTTGGCGCTTCATGTCAATGCACAACTGATCATTATGTTGAAGATGGTTACTGTAGACATATTGGTAAGTATTCGGTTTGATGGTGGAACAGCTTCCCCGACATGGTGTTTTTTCCGTTCTCTTGGATGAGGAAGTGGGTGTTCAGATGAGGTTCTCGACCCAACCCTTCAGTGCTGGTGATAAAACAGGTCAATTTAGCCTCACAATCATCACCAGTCAAGTTCTCGCCTGGAAATGGTCTTCAATTCATTTCAAAGTTGCTTTCGCCAAGGGTTCCAGCCAAGCGATGCGATGAAGCTAGTTGCCGTCTTCCTGAATGCTTCTGTTCAGTAACAGGTGGGATTCAAATGGATTTAGTTAGAACTGATAGATTTTTTCACTTTTCCGGTCGAAAACCTCCGGGTGGACTTGCACCAAATACTGTTCCACAGTTTGTGGTGTTAACATTTGATGATGCTGTGAATGGCCGAACCTTACCTGACTACTTGGAATTATTTGAGACAGTTAAATATAGGTGGGTTCACTGTGGTTTCTTTTCTTTTCATATGATCAATTACATTTTGCAAAAACTCATTCGTTAATCTTATTTTAATGCGGTCGAGTCCACTCAATGTAAAGATTAGGCAGTTCGAAAGCTTCACAAGGTTGGCGTGTATCGACAAATTTTCGGTCTCGAATGAACTCAAATCCGTATCTGTGCTTTACAAGCATCGTGCTTTTTATCCCGTACACGGTCGAGGCCCTGCTTGCCCTTGCCTTCCTAATCATCCGAGCCATAATTCAAGGTCACCCACATGTACAACGTAGTGAGCTGATTAGCCAGTATCGGCATTGTGCCATTAAACTGTGAGCTGGGTGGCATTGCTTGTTTGAACTTTGTTTTCTGTCTTATGACTGCTATTATTTCACCGTTGTACACGATGCAGTATTTTCGCATGATTTGCGATTTATGGAAAAAAACCTCGACCTCGAAGGGGACCCGAAGCCGTACGTGAAGCGCACAACCCTAGTCCGAGTCTGTGGACTGCCGTGGAGTTAATGATCTCAATTCGAATTGGGACTGTGAATGTTGAATAGCTTACTGGAAAGTCCAGGAGACCACCAATCTAATGAAGTGCAGAGGTATCTCTGCTACAAGCCTTCAGAAGAGACACTGAAAAGGAGCGAAGGTAGAGAAACTGAAGGAGGTGTCAAGCTCTACTACAACGGCGAAGATAACAAACGAAATACTGTTTCTTCAGCTATACCGAACTTCTCAGCAGACTCTGCCTGTGCTGCCAAGGATCAGCGGACGAGTCATTTCTGTGATAATGGACACAAAGGAGTCTTGTATGCATTGCGAGGGGGTTGTCATGAGTACGAAGAAAATGAATCTTATTTGAACCTTGATGATGCTGTCAGAACAGATCGGTTTAGGAAGAGGGCCATCTAACCACATGGAGCGACAGAATGTCTACGTGGCATTGAACCGAGGGACTTGGGAGAGGTATGAGAACTCATAGGAATTGGAGTCAGAAAAGAATTAGAAGAGAGAGTCCTCAGACTGGCCTTAGCCGATGAGCAGTCTTTAAAATCTTCTTCGCACGAAGGAAGCTTTCAGAAGGTGATTCGCAGTGATACAAGGAAACAAACGACAATTCATCATGCTACCCTAACAGTTCGTCTTTCGAATGTTAAGGACACTATGGCCACGTCTGGCTAAGAATTGACCACTCAGCACAGATCTCTCCTAGCGGGCATTGATATCGAACTTCCCAACAGAATAAGGGCAAGCACGGAGCGGAGAGTCCGATGATGGAAAGAGACCCGGTGATACGTAGGGTGGATACAGAAGAGGCATGGGCTGTCAGGCTTGAATCAAGTCTACATGAAAGAAGTTTAAAGAGTTCAGTGGTGTTCTCTGCGATCGACACTGCTCCAGGATGCTCGAAAAAGAATTGTACCGTACAGTGATGAGGTCTACAGGTTGGTGAGGTTAACGAGAGTCTAAGACAGCAAGTACTAGCCTTTACTGGGCAGCAATCATTAGGGGCAACCTCACTTCTCAGAAATGAGTGTGTTGAGATACCCCGTTGTTGAACGCGACTGGGCCGAATGAGAAAAAAGAAGGACGATTTTGCGAACAGCCCCTATTCAATCAAAGGTGAAATAGCAGTGCCTGTGCTGGGAAGCAGTGAAGTTCGAAGCTCAAGGAGTGCCCAAGGAGTACGAGAATTTCCAAAAAAAAAGGTGAGGGGATGAAGGAGAAGCTGAAATCAAGGTGACAGCAGAAGATGCTATAGATAGGATGAAACGGCTCACAAGAAAGGCGGACCCTGAGGGAAGAAGAACATATTGAGAGAGGGAAATATTTTATAGATTCGAACATGACCCATGCTTTATTACCAGTTCATGTAGCCATCGCATAATTTGCAAAATGAGTAAGCAGTGGCGATTCGTGGATCAAGGAAATTCCTGAATATGTAGTATTTGGTTGACCCACCGCTGCTGCAACACGTCCTCATGTTGTAGTCCGTTGACTACACAACCAAAAATTCCACATTGAAGAACTAGTATTCTTTTCGATGTATGTGTATTTCCGCCTTTTATTCATGTTCATCAGAAATCCGAACGGCTGCCCTGTGAAAGGAACATTTTTTGTGTCTCATGAGTGGACCAACTACGACGCTGTACAGTGGCTGTTCCAACAAGGAATGGAGCTCGCGTCTAATTCGATTTCGTGAGCTTTTTCTTTATGGATTCTCAAGTAGTAATATAAAACTGACTTATTTACTTCATAGCCACGTTTCACTCGAAAAAGCGGACGCGAACAGATGGCTGAACGAAATGGATGGTCAACGTCGAATTATAGCCAAGTTCGCGAACACAAATGAAGAGGAGATCATCGGTTTGCGAGCACCACAACTGGTTCTTGGCGGAGATGAGCAATTTGAGGTGAGCATGGCGTATGCAGCCTTTCACTAGAAGCGCTCCACATACACCAAATACACTTAATAGGCCATGAAGTATTTAAAATTTAGTAGTTGTCTCGTTTTTTCCAGACTCGTTGACGGACGAAGTGGGCAGTAGTGAGTGGATGTGGCGCGCGAAATGCGTCGTTTTCTTATATGCAGCGCTATGCAGCGTTATGGGAACACTTGCTCACATTCCATTTAATTCTTAATTGATGGAGAATGTTCACTCTTATTTAAAATCGAGCGCTGAGTTTCACTCTGTGAAGGCCAATGCAACTTATTAATGAAAAGTATGCTGTCTATACGGTGGCGGTGGCGTGTGGCAGCAGTTACCACACACTCACGATCTAGGGCTCAGAACCCTGATCGTTACTCGGTCAGGCCATCCCAGGTTATCAGCCCTGTGGTGCCGGCTAACTGTTAACAGAAAAACGATAAAGGATGCGCGGGTAAAAGCAATGACTTGTACGTCGGCGGCACCGCAAGTCATTGTAAAGGATCGCACATCGCATTCACTGCGCCATTTAGATTCTGAATGGGAGTCGAATGCGGGCCACATCCCTTTAATGGTATTGATTGGCATTGAGAGACCTCCTCCCTTATCCCTTAGAGACTTTTATCCCGTCTATTGGACCGGCGGTCAAATACAAGTTTTCAGATGATGGCAAATGTCGGTTTCGTCTATGACAACTCCATGTCCGTCAACCCTGGTATAAATGGAGAGCCATATTGGCCCCAAACCCTGGACTACGCGGTACCTTGGGATTGCTACGATGCTCAATGCCCTACTGCGTAAGTACAGTCCATTTATTAAACTATGAGTGAAAGCGTGAAACCTGTATCGACACTTGGCACGCAGATGTCATGAGGTTGAGAAAATCGGGCTAATGGTTTTCCATTCCGTTGAGCATGGGAGTTCAGAGAAGAGCTTGTTCATAGCCTTATTCAATATTAGGTTTTCTACAAAGTAGAAAGTCTTCTAGGTAATTCAAACAGTCATTTTAATGGAAATTTGCCTGTTTTTGAATTGTTTTATATATATAATTTAATTATATACCTGGGACCTAATATTTTACGATCAATATATGATTAAGAACTATTCCTTTCTCTGTTAACAAAGGTTGGCTAAAATTTTCCAATTATACAACAATTACTGCATTGTTGTCAAATAATTATGCGCCGAGCGGGTTGAAAGTGACTGCGATTTGCTGAATGTCTACTGCAAAAAGTTACATGCTTAGTTTTGGGCGAACAGATGGAGCTTAAACAGTACGCTGTCCTAAGTTCACGACTTTTTCGTGTTTCACTATATCTCATTTCTATGGAGGAGCAATGTATGTAGCATCCATATTTTTGATTCAACAAAACTTACGTGAGTTCAGCCTAAAAAGGTTGCATGAGGTTGATATAGCCTGTGCCACATCGTGTGTAATTCATCAAGTGATGCGACCATTTCAGATCGTTTCCGGGTTTATGGGCTATACCGCTCAATCAGTTCTATGGGTCGTACATACCACAAATCGACGCCTACCGCAGATCGAGTATGGTCCGCGCTGCTGTGGACCTAAATACGACTGTAGATCAACTGGTTCGTGTACACAAACATGAGTGCATGGGTGCATTTATTACATGAACATGGGTGCATCTATTTAATGATTATTTTCTGCTGACTTGAGACATGTTTCAATCTCATCACCTGAACCTGTTTTCATCGGGAGACGAAAATCCCCTTTCGAATCATCATTTCTTCTTACAGACCAATATGCTCTTTTCGAATTTTGATCGTAGTTATCTTGGAAATCGCGCACCGTTTGTGCTCTCGCTAAATGCCGACCTACTTCAACTAAATGGAAAAAACACCGGCATGCAAGCACTGCAGCGGTTGGTCACCTAAATCTACTGCCCGATGAATGGCTGTCTGTGCTTTGACATCATAATATTAATGCCATGGTTCAGGTTCCTTGAAGAGGTGCTGTACAGAAAAGATGTCTACGTCGTCACTTTGAAACAACTTATCCAATGGATGCAGCACCCTCTGCCACTGAACCAGATGTTACGGGTATTCTTTTTTTTTGTTTGACGTTTATATTTCACCCAGGGACTCACAGTTTTAGCCAAAACAATGGGGTAACACCCTGATTGACGAGCTGGAGACTGGTCTTCTCCCTTTCACGTCTATATTTCAATGGCGTTCACAGGAAAAATGCATGATTTTGAAATGCATGATCATGAAAAAAAGGTGTTTGCACCAAGGTGCTTTATAGCGAAGATGATACGCGTCACGTATAGCTAAACTATTAGGTTTATGCATATATCCTTTTCCACGATTTTCTTGTAAATATCTCAGTAGCGAATCATCCTGAAGAGTAGATGCAGGCACCATCACCATCCACTGCTCGACGCCAACGTTCAGGCAGCATGTCGATTCTATAATCCCAAAAGGATGAGGAACTTGAGAAAGTTGTCGAGTGCCTTCCTGACCTCATCCTCCGAGTCGAACTTGTGAAAATTGTGCGGCATTGTGACCTTCATATGTAGGGTGGGCGAGGGATAGTTAGCGTGATTGAACAGAGACGAGAATTCAGTACGGCACTCGGCTCTCACAGTAATCCCCTATCATATCCACCACCCACACCGTGTCCTTGCCTGCAGTTGTATTTTTTGTTTCATCCTTCTAAATTTCTACTTTCTTCCAATTCTTCTTCTCAAAACATTACATCAGGCCTGAATGAAACTACATACAGCGTGGTCCTAGAAAATCTTCTAATTTTGCAATTGTAAAGGTGTTTTTTCCAAGGATTACATTACATTGGTGTATTTTTCATTCGTTGAACAACTTCAAAAAATGTTTGAAAAGACGGTCGTCATTAGTATTTCCAAATGCAAAGCTTGTGAAAAATCCCCGAAACGATTTTTGGTAATGACTAACCCGTGGGCGACCGCGCCTTTTACATTTTCCTTATATTAACTTTTAATTTATTTTATAACTGTAGTTGGAAGAGAATGATTCCTTGACCACTCAAGATTCTCCAGAAGGTTGCGAGCTAAGCTGATACTGGAAAACATGAAAAAAAAATATAAGAACACTTTATAAATAATATAAATACTACAGGGGCACGATATGGTGTGGCCCGCCGGCAGGCCATGCGGTCGTCAATGGGTTAAAATGGGGTTATGTCATGCCGGATTACTGTAACAGCCAAGTCCCGTGCTGAAATTTCGTTTCTGTGTGTCATTGCTTGCGAAATACCACCATCCATGAAAACGAATTACGGAAACAAACACGATTGAGAAAATATATTCATCAACCTAATAGAAGCTTTGCAATAGCGCCCATCGTTGTGCTACGAGCTTGAATAGGTCGAGTAATAACTATAAATGCAACAATACCCTTGATTCATTATTTCAGTGGGAAACCGAAACAAACTGAATTACTTGCAGTCGGATGCTGTCAAATGTCCTCAATCGTTTAATCAACATGCGACCACTGATCGGAAGCTATGCTTGAAACCGAACAAATGCATGTACAATACACCCGGTCTGGGTAGCCAAGAGCATCAATTCCTCACGTGCTCTCCATGTCCAGACCAGTATCCATGGCTCGACAACCCGCTCGGCTATGCATTCTCCTGAAAAATCTACGGAATTCGTTTCTCATACGGTTTAATCATTGTGTTGTCTGAAGTGTTTCGGCTGAATCCTATCATTTCAGCGTGGCTCGAGATGTCGGTCCATTCTATTTAATGTTTGTACTAAGAGGTATTGTGTACAACGTTCCTATGGTGTGTGTCTTTCATTGAGTAAATTATTTGGATTAAATTATGATCGAATCTCCATTACTTCACGGCTATACGTCTTCTGTTTGATTGACCTTATTGACAATCCAAGGTTTCCAACAGCTCTATCGGTTAATTTTCCGGTAGAATACCCTTCTTCTTAGATCATAATAGGCCTTTTCGAATCAAAAAAAAAATTCAATAGCATAGGCCATGAAGGGCTCATGAAAAATGCTCATATCAGAACAGATGTAACTGCTAGTAAGCACCTTCAGCAGTGAGCTTCTTTACCGTTTTTCGGAACTCACAAAATGGGGTCAGTGAGCTCACAGAGTGCATGATTCTTCCGTAGATTTGGAAAAAGGTAGTGTTGAACGCCTAGAATTAAGAACACCTCTCTCAGCAGAGCAGCACAGTACTCCAGTCGTAATAAAAAAAGACCCTTTCTCGAAAACATGTCTGAAACTGCCCCGGTACGTTAAGAAGAGGGTCGGTAGCACTAGCTGATCGTATTACGTAAGAAAAGGTGCTGCAATTACGAAAAATCGCCTGCATGGCCTAGGCAACGATTGCCCTGATTGATTGATTGATGATTCTGATTTTTGATCCTATTGCATCACACCCTGATTTGCTCACTCTTCTCCAAATCCGGGTGTGGTGCAATAGGATCAAAATTGTCATGTCGAGGCGAGTGGGAAGCAGTGCGCGCGAAGGAATGTAGCAGAATACAACAGCAGGTAAGAAATACAGGAACAAAAGAACTAACTAACAGTAAAATCATGCCTAAATAATAATGCATATCGATCGAACTGTATGAAGAACGCTAGAGCTGTAACAACGGCGAAGCGGATGGTTCGCGAAGTTCAAACCTTCATAGCGTGCAAATGCGGCGATCGGGTGCTGCGAATGCAACGGGACTTTAGGGGAGAGGTTATCCACCCCCAGCTGAGGAGGAGTCCATGGGAAAAAGGTATCCTCTGAAGAATATTCGGATGGGCTGTGTCGCGCCTGAGCCGGATCCCCTGCCCCTTCTCGCATCGAGGTCCCGAGAGAGGGAATCCAACCATGGTTCGGTGAGGAGGGTTGTTACGCCTATGGAACTTGCATGCCCGCCATGCTCCACCTGCCACGCGTTTTACGTGGCTAATGATAGGCTCTATAGTCCTAGATGGTACTTATCCCCTACGCTCCACTTGTACAACGACTACGCGAGACAGTTCTCACCCCTCTCTCATCTCTATGGCGGATTTATCCTTGGCATTTACTACCATCATCGCTATGCCTTGGCACTCTGATATATTGGCCAATGAATACGCGGTAACTCCTGGTTTCTTTGAGTCCAACATAAACATGAGAGAGACACATAACTCGTGTTAGCAATAAATTCATGTCTATGCGTGTGCGTAGCAATATACTATAGAAAAAAATAACACTGCTTGTGGCGTCCTGCGCCTTTTACGCCAGGGAAAGGGGACGAACCCTAGTCAGATCCACGACGGCCCACTCCATACTCGGGCGTCCATGCCTTGATGTTCTCCTCGTAGTTGTGTTGACCTCGCTACGATAGCTACGCGGAATAGGAGGTACAACGTAGACGCTGTGAATACAATTAGCAGGACGCAGCCTTCCCTTGCGAATACGGTGACACGCATAGTATAACACATCCGATACGTTTGAGGCGTACCGAGGCGACTGAGACGACCAAGTCAACCGGACGACTGACTGGGGCCCGACGATGCGTGGGCCATACGTTTTGCTCTAAGACCCACGCACGCCCTTCCAGGCGCGACCCTTTTATAGAGTCGTACTGAAGTTACCGCAATGGGAGCGGTGAGAGGCATGTGGGTCCTAGCGACGATGGAAACGGGATCCTGAGCTTACCTACTGCGACTGCGCAGACTAGATTTACGTACATGTTACTTACTCGACGAGTCCTACGTGGCCTAACTACCTATGCTGGCTTCGAGGGGAGGAGTTAACTGGACTACGACGTTCTCGTGGTCTTTTATCAATAATAAGGTCATATGTTGTGCATTCGGATTGAAAACCGTCGAAATTACTAAGCTGACTCTTTGTCTACGCCAGTTTATAATTATTATTTGTTTGTTTTTTGTTTACACTGATACACTAATAAATTAAAAAGTGGTTGTTGAGGACCTATGGTCCATTATCAATAATAAGTCGACCATATTAAAGGGAATAAATGAAAATTGCTCAGCTGATAGGTTACCGGTGGTCTTCGTCGCGATAGTTTATAAGCAAAATATTCTTCCCCATAAGCTCTCGGACGACTCGTGACTCGACGAGCACGGCGCATACGTTTGCAGTAGCCTTCTAACGTAACGTCACGAATGACGTGCTGGCTACAAAGGTAGAAAGCCGTGTGATGGTCCATTGCTCTGCAGCATTTACGGGTAGTACGCCGATGGTGGCTGGTACAGTTTTCGTCCACGTGTGGTCCTCGCAGCGAAAGCACTTGCCATTGCGCGAGTGAATGTAGAGTCTATAGGAAAAATATGGGAAACTACGGCACTGCGAGGAGAAATGGTGTTGCTTGCAAAAAAAGCGACGCGATCTGGAGGCAACCTGGTTACCAGGGCGTGTCCTATACTCCTCCTTCATTTCCCCGCTGGCGGTGTATGCATTTGTACGAATTAGTCGGTCGTATGACCCACACTGGGGGTGGCGGATGGAAAGGGAACAGCTGCGGGCAGGGCGGCCACGATCTACGCTTGAGCTACGCTGTGGGTGTGGAAGGCGTTTTTCTTGGCGCGATATCTCTCCTTGGCCTTGCACTGGTGGGTCCGGTAGTCACAGGCCTAAGAACTCCCTAAATGATTGGTACTCCGAGTGCGCGGTTGGCGATGAGCCCTATTCGTGGTCGATTGGCTTCGGTCCTTGCGCGAATTCAGTTATTCTTGACTTATGCAGTACGCCATAATCAAACACATGCACAACAATAAGCAGAATTAATTCGGACAGCCTCGGACACAACTAGTCCCTTTATCCGAAAAGTAATCATGAGTTGTGCAAGTAGTAACTGCTGCGGTTTGCGACAGAGCACAGTGGGCGAACACTAAGCAACAAAATAGTTTATTTGGCAAATATACGAAAAACAAGGTCACGAACGGCAACAAACCATACAAAAAGCAATCAACGCCGAACCGGCGGACAGGAGAGATACCTGAAACAAAAAAAACAAGGGAGGCGTGCTGCGGCGCAGAGGACCCCTTATTGAGAAGATCCTGTAACTACTGTCGAATCTGGTGTATTGGCTTCTTTATAGCTTCCGTTCCCACCAGCGATAATTGACGCCAGTCAAAGATCACGCGCACTACACATGCTCTACCTCATGCCACGTCAAGTGCTCAGGGGTCCTTCCGCCTCAACATGCCCTCTCCTCTGAAGATCTGTCCTCAAATCATATATTGAGGTGACATACCCTCTAGCGACCTGCCTTCGTCGTCTTTTTTCTTGACGCTTCTCCACTCATTTCAGATGCCTTTCGAAAATCCTTCCCTCCATAATGGGCGGTTTTCCCTTTTTATCAACCGCACGCACTGGTCTTCCAGGCTTCACCGGCTTGGCCCCCAAGTCGTGCAATAAACAAAAAACCAGATGTTAGTATTACCGACTAAATATATATGGACAACGGAAAGTGATTCGTTTCGCCTCTACTCAGACGAATCACTTCGTTACTCTTCAACCCGCAAGGCTCTTCGGTGAGTTGGGGTTAGTGAGTAAAAAACATGATAGAATAGGGGTGAAATGAAACAACAAGAATTAGATACGATTACTATAGTTATAATAGTATAAGAAATATTTAAAATGTATAAAATTATAAGTTAAATGAATGATTAGCATGATAAAAGACTAGAGAAACATGAATAGAAGAAAGGCTGACTAGAACGAATAAGAGATATACGAAAGCTTAGAGGAAAGACTAGAATATAAATCAATGTCTAGCAAAACGTGAAAGATAAAAGCCTAGTAATAAATGAAACAGGAAAGATAGGAGTNAATACTATGAAGAGCTATAGGAAAAAACAAAAAGTAGAAAAGAAAAGACACAAATGGCAATTACACTGCAAACATAAAGGAGCATAGGTAATAACTTGAAAAACAAAAACCTGCGTGATACTCATTTACGCAGTCAAAAAACACGCATTGGAGCATGATATCATGAGGAGGGCCACCTGCAACCAATTATATAGAACGACTAAATCAAACTTCATTTAAACAAGTGGTTCAGTCATAAGTCAGATTTAAGTTAAAGTGAAGTAACTGCATTATGAATTAAATGGTTAGAAAAGGTAATAAGAAATGCAAATTAGCAAGTAAGAATGGCTTTCACAATTTGGTAACATTATTGTAATTAATAGTGAGATTAAACTTGTAACCAATGAATTTGTTATTATAGTTACATCTAACTATACTAGATATAATAATGATCCTATCATACCCAGAAAATGTGAATATATCTATCATCTCTGAGTCTAAGGAAGAATGAATAAGTATTAGAGTATGTATAGGAAATTCTAAGTGCTTCAATATAAATCACCGCTGACTTAGTTTTATTCGATATATTAGTATCAGAATGAAGGAATCTAATGACTTCAAAGTTAAATTCATCAGTTTTGTTATAAAGTTTAGTGAAAAGTCTGTTATCTACCACTCTAATGGTAAGGTCCAAATAATTAGAATATACTCCTGAAATATGTATTTTTTTATATTCAAGCTTATCTTTGTATATATGTGCAATACAGCTGTCTACATCTACTTCTTTCTGATTATTTACTTTTAAGAGGTCATCCATATATCTGAAAGGTATGAATATTTCATTTGTATTGTGTTTGA